CCTTCGTTCTTGTCTTTTCTGGATCGTGAATCTGAATTTTTTTCCTAATCAAGTTTATTGTTTGTTGTCTTTTGGTCTCTGTTTTTTTGTGTGTGTGTCTCTTTCTTTCTGTTTCTTTTACTCTCTCTTTTTCTCTTCTCTGTCTTTCTTTCTGTCTGTCTGTCTGTCTCTCTCTGTCTCGCTCTGTGTCTCTCTGGATCTGTCTCTGTCTTTCTCTCTCTCTGTGTGGGTCTTTCTCTCTCTGTCTCTGTCTTTCTGTCTGTCTATCTCTTTCAGTCTCTCATATTTTTTTCCTCCCTTACTGTTTGTCTCTCTACATATACCACATCTTCTATCGTCTCCCTTCTCCCTAAATTCTCTACCCCTTTCTCCCTCTCCCCGCTTCTACAGATTTATCATCTCGTCTCTTGATCTCCTTCATTCATCCTTCATTCCCTCTCTCATTCTTTTTTATATATTATTTTTTTTTCTAAATATATCTCTTCTTTCTCGAAGTTGCGCGTTGCCATATTTATACAATAATTCATAATTCCTTCATTTTCTCTATCATTATTTACTGCTCTCACTGTCACTATTTATTATCAGAATTATCTATCTACTGCAATATTGCCACTGAAGATTATCATTTCTTATCATTCATTATCGATAAAGGAAGTTAAATCTCACTATTTTCCATCAAACTTTATCTCCCTCTGATATTTCACAGGCATTTTCTGTTATCAAAATATATCAACTTTATCAACTTTTCGTCTGCTTTTTATCCCTATCTTTAATCTATAATTTTCTATAACGGATCTTTCTACAACATATTTATATTTCTTGCAGTTCCATTTATTTTTCTTCTTCTTCTTCTTCTGCTTACTCTTTATCTTATTTTCCTGCTTATACTTTTATCTTACTCTGTTCTTCTTTCTATCTCTTTTACTCTAGTGTTTATCCTGTTATTTGGGTTCATATAAATGTTTGCGTTCTATTGTTCTCTCTGTTCTTGTGTTTGTTTTATCACTGCTTATACTCTGCTAGGGAATATAATATTGAAAATAAGGCTTCACTAGATTTCTACACAGATTTTTCGCATGTCTGTCTGTCTCTCTATCTCTATCTCTGTCTCAGTCTTACACAAATACACACACACAAACATATATATGTGTGTGTGTGTGTGTATATCTGTGTATATATATATATATATATATATATATATATATATATATATATATATATATATATATATATACATACATACATACATACATACATATATATATATATATATATATATATATATATATATATATATATATATATATATATATATATATATATGCACACATATACACACAATGATTTGTTCATATCAGTCCATGCCGGTTCAGAATTACACCCACGATTTGACGCTTCATTACACTAAGATCATTACACTAACTGTCACAAAATTAATGCATTTTTGTAAATGTCTCTTTCCTTCGTTGCGGTTTTATTTTTTCGGTCGCATCTGTCCTTCACTATAACTCCTTCGTTTAGATTTATGGAGCGTCGTTCATATTTTCTGTTTCCGTTGTTTCTTTTTTTTCTACTCCGCACTTTCAGAAATTTATAACGTTTTTGATAGTTGTTGGATTAATGACATTTTGTATTACTTCCGTTTCCCTCATTTTAATGTTTTTTTTTTATTTCTTGTTTATTCGTCTTTCAGGAAATCACCACATAATTCATATATATATAAATTCTGGTTCAGCAAAGCAATATAATTTAGGAAGATAATTTTCTTGTTTTTTCTGTAGTTATTTTTTTTTCATTTTTAGATATTCACTCACAAAATTTCAGGAATTTTGAAATCAGCTGATTATGATCTCCGTTTTTGGTCCTTCTCAATACACGAAAAACATTGTTATTTTTTTTCTTCTTTTGGGTCACTTCATCAACTCATTTCTTATTATCATTCATATCAGTTGTCATTTTTTTCATATCCACTTATCAAATTAGAGTTTCCAATTCGCTGAGTTTCCGGTATATAGAAAGAAACGAATTACGTACATTCTTCGGTTTGATTTTCACCGTCAGATTTGAACTTCACAACGTCAAAAACAGCTGGGCACTCTATTTCACTTCGGGAACAGAAATCCGCTGTTGTTTGTTCACATCACACTTTCGGGAGGAGGTTTATGTTCACAGGTCTTCGTCATTTGTTCCACTTATCATTTTTTATTCTTTTTCTTCGTCACTTCGTTCACTTCATTGCAATTTATATTTTCCACTCGATGTACTCGCGAGAAATCTACAACAACCAAGATCATTTCCACGTTTTAGAAGAATACCACTTGATTTTCTTTTCATACAATTTTTTTCTTCTTCAAAACCGACAGAAAATCCTTCACATCTCTCACAACCGTAAGCACAATATTCACTTCACTTCACCATAAACTTTCACAATACATCACCCGAGGTAAACATCAACACAGCAAAGGAAGGGGATTCTTCATACTTATCATACCAGGCAAAGATCACTAAGCCATGAACAATGTAAATATATGCCCGGGACGCACACGGCAACCGGCTGGTGTGAAAGGGTCATCTCATTAACTCCTTCGTAGGAACAACAACTATGCAACCTATGCTGTTGACGATTCCTCCACGAGCTCCTGCAGGCACTGTGGTATGACTAGATATCCCTTTTTTTCTTGCAAGAGGCAATGATATTGCGAGAGAAGGGAGAGAAAGGAAAGGAAAGAGGAGGAAAGGAGAAAAATAGTCGTGTAGATTTTATGGGAGGAATTCTAGGTTTACATCAACAACAGTATCCTGGTGTTTGCGTGTTTCTGTACATGCACACATAAATATAATCATGCATAGATATATACATACATACACACACATACATATATAAATGCATATATATATATATATATATATATATATATATATATATATATATATATATATATATATGTATGTATGTATGTATGTATGTATGTATGTATATATATATATATATATATATATATATATATATATATATATATATATATATACATATACACACACACACACACACACACACACACACACACACACACACACACACACACACACATATATATATATATATATATATAATATATATATGTATTGCTCTTGACCTATGTAGCACTCCGGGTTTTGGTTTGTTACTCAGATTCACTTGAGAAAAGCATCGCACGCATTTTGGTTTATTTCACCACCACCGACGCCCAACTCCCCTCCACAACCCAAGCGCTCATACCCCTCCCCCCCTCCCGTATCCTATCCCCCATAGAGTGCGACCCTCCTTTAAAACCCCTTGTCCCGCGCGCTTCCCCTTTCGGACATAGGACTCCCCTCTTCCCATTTCCTGTTCCTATTTCCTCTCTCGCCCTCTCCCCCCTCCCCCCTGCCCCACGGACTCCCTACTCCCTGTGGTTGTGCAGAGTCATGGAGTTCATAAGCAGCGACCCTTCCTGATCACGACAAAGCCCGAGGCAACGTGTGGGGGGGGGAGGGGGGGAGGGGGAACTGCACCGCGATGAATGGACGCCAGAGATTTCAACGCGTCGCCCGTGAGGTTCCTCGGAGGCGCGCGCCCTTCGCTCCTCCTCGCCTTCTTCTTACGATTATGTGTCAAAAGCTATCCTAACTTTTATCGTTTGTTCTCGTTTAGCATCATTACTTTTTTTTCTTCTTTTACTTTTTTTTTTGGAGGGGGAGGGGGGAGGGAGGGGGTTATATTGGTTGCCTCGTAGATTTATCGAGGTGGCGGGGGTCGAATAATCACAGGGTCGTTTCGCTGGTTATTTATTTGCATGCGGAGTTGGTTCGAGTGGCAAGTTGGGAACCACAGAGGATTACTGTTATTACCGACCTGATCACAACTCCTGACCGGTTTAATCTAACTGTTTCTTGGGTGGAATCTATTGCCTCATGCAAAAGAACAGAAGTTATAAACCGTCTCAATAAGGGCACATGGACGTTATAGCACGATCTCGTTCTCACATGAAATTGCTTTTGTTAAGATAAAAAAGGAAAGAACTTATCTTCGTATTGTATGATGGCTTGATAGATGTATGTGTTGAGAATATAATCGAACCGTATTATACCAAGAAAAAAAAAGTTAATATGGAATCATACAAATTACAGGAAAAAAAGAAGATGAACTTTAAGATATATGGCTATAGGTAAAAAAGGGAAGGAAAAGGGAAAATCAGGAACAACTTACAAGGAACGAAATAAGGCAAAGGACATGGAGCAAAACACGCAGAAGGAGTAGGAGGAGGAAGCGAGGAGGGAGGGGAAGAAGGGGGTAAAAAGCGGGGGGGGGGGGGGGGACAAGGTATCGTCGAGTGGCCAGGCTGTGACTGTGTCAGGAAAGGGAAGAGGGAGACAGACGTCGATGGAGAAGGAATAGAAACAGAAGAAGAGGTCGAGAGAAGAGCAGATAGGAAGAGGAATAGGAGACGAGAAGGAAAATCAAAGCAACAGGTAAGAAAAGAAGAGGAAGACGAGATGGGAAAGAGAGCCAGTAAGCAGGAAAAGGAATAGGCGAGAAAGGAGAAAAAGACGGAGAAGGAAAAGACCAGTGGCTCTGGAGTCGGAGTGCCAGAAATGTAAGTGCCACCGGAGTGCAAGAAAGGGATTGGGAATCAGTCTTCCGTGACACTTGAACCTCTTAGAACTTTGCCTGAAGAAGGTGGAAAGACAGATGTAGGAAGGGCTCCCTCTGAGGGCTTACAGGGAGGAAGAGGGGTATGGGGGGGGGTGGAGGGGGGATGGGGGTGGGGGTTGATGGGGGAAGCTGACCCGGGGTGAAGGAAGAGGAGGAGGAGGAGGAGGGGGGGTAGGCGAGGAGGGGGGGCGAAGGCACGACAGAAGAGGGGGCTGACTCGAGGGCGAGTTGTGAGGGCGGAGGGGGAGGGGAGGGGCGGGTGGAGGGCCTGGCCAGAGGAGGGGCTGAGCCGAGGCTGAGGTGGAAGGAGGGGTTGCTGACCTACCTGAGTGATGGCTGGCTGATCCCTGGGTGTGACGGCGTCGGCGGAGATGCCCGAGTCAGCGGGTGACGGCAGGTCGACGGTGAGGGTGTTCGAGACCCCATTGGCCTTATAAGCCGGCCGCGGGTAGCGGTCCGCGAAGCCCGTGTCCGCGGGACTGTATTCCTGGCGCACACTGTACTGGGTCTCGATCGGGGAGTAGTAGTCGCGGTAGTAGTTGTCCGAGACTGTGTGCACGGCGGACGAGCCCCGCACGACGGGCGACGTGCTGGTGGTGTACGGCTGCGGCGAGGGCGACAGGTACGGCGACACGTGCTCGTACGACTGTGGCGAGGAGGCGGAGAAGCCCCCGATGTAGCTGCCCGTGCCGGCACTCATCTTGTCGGCCGAGTCCTGCGGCGCCTGGATGACGAGCGTGTGGTTGGCGCGAGGGCGATCCCCCGACTCCACCTTGAGGCTGCTGTGTTCCAGCTCCTCCTTTATCACGTGGTGGTCAAGGTCGTCCTTGAGGGCGGACGGGACGTCGAGCGCTGGCGGGGAGTCTCCGTCGGGCGGTGGCGGAGGCAGGAGCGGTCGGCGTCTATCGCACAGTACGCCGCGGTCGGCAGGACTGTTGGCTCGGCGGGTCAGGTCCTCTGGCTCCCGCTTGACGCTCTCCGTGCCGCCCACAAACAGGAGCCCTTCCACGGGCACCGCCCCCGGCACGCCCTCGGACACCCCGTTTGTCATTTTGCAGTCCAACGCGCCGCCCACCACCGGGCTCCCAACCCCAGACCTGCAAACAAAAGGAGATAATGAGCATCGGTTGACCAATCAGCGGCGACAGGGGGGCGGGGCTAAGGAAACTAGGGAGAGCCGCGAGAACCAATCGCAGCGCGGGATGAAAAGGAGGCGGAGCCATCCGAGCAGAAACTCCGCCCGGATGCTCTCGCCGGGGTCTTCATCCCCGTCTAGAAATGTTATTATTGATTCATTTTTTTAAATGCAAAAGAACCTTTCAGCAACACATGAAATTCATAAAGAATATTCCGTCTGACCAGCACAGAAGCAGCCGGCTCCCGCCTTCGAACACGCTGAGCCACGCGGCCTTCGCCACCCCCGGCCCCTCCCCCGTCCCTCCTTCCCTCCCTCCCACTCCCTTCGTCGCTCCACCTGCCATCGCTAACATGATCCGCCGCTCTCCTCTCTCCCTCCCTCTGCCCTTCCCCTTCCTCCCCTTTCCCCGCCTCCCTCCCTTCCCATCACCCATCCTCCCTCGCCCACGTAAAGGCCCATCTGCATGTCTCCCACGCTCCCCCTCCCCCTTTCTCTGACCCTCCCCCTCCCCCCTCCCCTCCCCCGCCACAACCAAGCTATCGCGGAAGTGCTGGTAACTTGGCCGAGGTTTTTGCGTACGGCGAGACATCTTTGGCTGTCACGTCCTTACATGGGGGGTGGGGGTGGGAGACTTGAAAGGGGGGGTGAGAGGGGGGGAGGGAAAGGGGTCCTGATAGAGGGGGAGAAAAGGGGGGGGTGGGGGGTGGAAGGGAATCCTCAGAAGGGGGGGAGAAAGAGACGGAAGAGGATGGAGAGAAAGGAGGGTAGAGAGGAGTGAGGAGAGGAAGGAAAATCGTGAAAAAGAGGGATATGAAGAGAAAGAATAAGAAAAAAAACATAAGAGAAATAAAAAAAAAATAAGGAAAGACGTAAAGAAGAAACAAAAGTAGAAAAACCAAAACAGAGAAAAAAAAACGAACAAGACAGAAGTTTAGGAAAGAAACCGTGAGAGATATCTTTTTTTTCCTTATTGATCGGCAACCTATCGACAAAGCAAAGCCCGGCGAACGTGATGGAATCTCACGCTGTCTCCTGAAGGACAAGCTTTGATCACTAATTTTCTAGGATGCTGAGCTTGATGAAAGGAAGGGAGAGAGGGACGGTACTACGGGCTCGGGAGGCGAACGGGGAAAGCCTCAACAGAGCTAAAGGAGGAATAAGGGAGCGAGAAGGAGATAGAGGAAGAGGGATAAGAGGGTAGGGTTTGGGGGATAAATGAGGGAAGGAGGAATAAGAGAGAAGAGATAATTTCGAAGAATTAGGCGAAAGGTATTTACATCGCTAAATGAGGTACAGAGAAGAAGAAGAAGAAGAAGAGGAAGAGGAAGAAGAAATGAGAGAGAGAAAGAGAGAAAATACATGGACTTAAGCCTCTCTGGACAAGTTTAGGCCAGTATGCTAGGTAGTCCTTGCAAGTAACGCATAAGTAAACGCATAAGTAAACAAACATGGCTTAGCATCTGCCATGACCTGAAGCAAATATACAGTGAACGGTAGTTATGCAAATTCATATTATCATATTTCCATATAACTGATATTCATAGATTCTAGTTGAATTCAAAGATGTAGTCGTGTGCCTTATTAAATATTTATGTTTAAAATATTATTACTTGTAGTTACTTAAAAAAAGAAAAATCTTATTCCTTGCAACTGCATCTTTCAGTCTTCAATATCAATGTCAGTCCTTGCAACAAAGGCATAAACACAGCATCCCTCTGCACTCTTAGTGTTGTTATCTCATCATATGCATCTCAGATCAACCTCTTATATCACCATTACAATGTGCTATCCCCTCATAAACATCATATTAAAAGTATTCTCACAGATATCTTTATTATCACTCGTATCGCTCTGTTGTAATATCATCGTTTTTTTCTATTTTGTCACAATCGCTACCATATTCATTAACGTCGGTGTATTTATGGTAATGTCGCTGCCGTTACTGTGCTAATACTGTTGTCTTTTTCATCATCACATTCATATATTAACATTCTCTCGTGTCGTTTGTCACTATTGTCTTACTTGCACCATAAGCTTGTTTATTACCCTTGTATTGTTGCCAAGTGCTTATCACTATTACGAGGTCATAGCCTAACTACTGAAATTGTATCACTGTCATCACATTCTGGTTGTCGATGTACCATTGCAATCACCATACCCACGCGGTCAGGATATATCAACCCTCTCTATACCTCTGCCAACAGCATTCCCTCCCCCCCCCTTTCACCATACTCCCGCTGTCACCATATCCTTCTCCTCAGCATACCCCTACCATGGACGTATCCTTCCCCCCCTCACCATGCTCCTACCCCCCCCTTCACCATACCCCCACCATCAACAGCGAGCAAGAGACCACACGCACCACATCCCCCCCTCCCTCCGGTTCCTCCTCCTCCTCCTCCCCCACCCCTCCCCTTTTCCTCCTCAGGCCTCGTTTCACCCCTCCCCTCCTACCTCTCCCCTCCCCCCCCTGTGCCTTCGTCAGCGTGACCAAATCGCTTCAGCCACGTAAGATCTCAGAGCCATCGCGTCATCGCCTTTAAGTTATAACACTAATTAGTCCCCGATAAGAGTATTAAGACCGCCGATAATATCTGTCATAAACAATTTTTTTTTTTTTGGGGGGGGGCGGGTTGACCTTTGACCTCGATCGGCGCTTATCCGAGATCCTGTGGAACACCTGGTTTTAATTTTCGACACGATGTTCGTGAATCGATATCAAGTAGGGGGGGGGGGCGTGGGGGGAGGGGAAGGGGAAAGGGGGAGGGGGAGAGATATTTGATACTAATCGTTAATCACGGTGATTTTAGGGAGGGGGGTGGGGAGAAGGGACGAGGGGGGGAGGGGAAAGTAAGGGAGGAGAGATGAGGGGTAGAGGAGGAGAGGGAAGAAGAAGGGAGGAAGGTGGGGGAGGAGAGAAAGGGTGGAAAGAGGGGAAGAGGAGAAAGAGAGGAGGGGGGGGGGGAGCAAGGGAGAAGGGAAGAAGACTGAAGAGGAGAAAGAAAGGAGGAAGGGGAAGGGAAGGAGGGGGGAGGGGATGAAGATAGGAGAGGGAAGAGGAAGTGAAGAAACGGAGGAGAAGAGGGGAAGGAAAAAGACATTAAGATGAAACGGGGGAAGAAGAAGGGGAAAGGAGAATAGAGAGAGGGGGTAAGAATGACGTAATGAGAGGGGGAGGGGGTGAATTAACATGTAAATTAGCCACAGGGAAGGGGAGCCATATTAATATATCTTCCCTCCCCCCCCACGTTTTAAAAACTTGGCCCAGAATGATAGTTGTTAAATCTGAATTTATGATCCCTGAAAGTATCTATCAAAGATATGCATCGGGGAACCTGCCTTAACCTTTTCCGTCGAGAGCCAAGCTTAAGTGACGTCTACGTGACCTGGATTAAGTCACTCAGGGTTTCGTCGAACATGTTTTGAACGTGTTTAGAGCCCAGAGCGTGGACGGCGTTAACGAGAGAGCTTTGTCCAGAATTTATCGTTGTTATTTTTGCTCATTTTGGTGCATTTTCTTTTTATTTATATTCTTTTTTTATGATAATAGATATTCTTTCGGTCTGTTAAGAGGGATTTTATATATGGAGTTTGATATTATAATTTTGATATATATTTTTTTTATCATCTCTTTCACAATCCTCATCTCAAGTGCTCCACTGGCCTCGATTTAACGACAATACAGTCTCACTCTCACTTACATAATTTCATGAACTCCCACTGGTTTCTTCACCATGATTTAATCGCTAAGACTTCACTATCATGCACATTTCCACTCTCAAAACCTCACTTTTATTGGTACACATTGCTTTCACTAGCTTTCCTCTTATCCACTCATCACCACTAAGCACATCATAAATCGCATTAACTCATCACCATTAACATCACCATCCTACATCACAATCATCATTACCATAAATATTCATCACCATCCTATATCACATCAACTCACTATCACTGTGACATCACCACCACCATCAACGCACATCATCACATAACATCACATTCTACTCATAACACAGATTAACCAAACGACATAACATCTCCACATCAACACATCACCACACAACACCACCACATCACCAGTCTTCCCCATTCACCACCACGCAAACACATCACAAACACACCACACACGTCCCCTCTCATTGTAGCACAGTGACGTCATCCCCCCCACCCCCCTCCCTTCCCCCACCGCACGCTACAACACCACAGAACATGTTGGCATAAGTGTCTCAAAAATCCCCCTCCGTTTTCAAATCGAAAATCGGGCAAGCGGGGAACACGATATCATAATTCGGCTAACGACTCGGCTGGCGACTCGGCTTGCGACTCAGCTGGCGACTCGGCTTGTGACTCGGTTGGCGACTCGGCTGAAAGGACTTGGCGAGGATCATGCAGGTTGGGAGGCATCCACGCGGAGGAGGAGGAAGAGGAGCCGTTGGAGTAAACAGCTGGACGAAGTGAAATTAATGAGAGGGGAGGATAGGTGTAGTGAGAAGCTTTTAATATGTGTATATATGATGTCATATATATATATATATATATATATATATATATATATATATATATATATATATATATATATATATATATATACATATAGTGAGAGAGAGAGAGAGAGACTGACAGAGAGAGAGAGAGAGCGAGAGAGAGAGAGAGAGAGAAAGAGAGAAAGAGAGAGAGAGAGAGAAAGAGAGCGCGACCAAGTAAAGAAAAACAGATCCCAGCATCAACACTAACCTCGTTCTCCCCTCCTCCCTCCCCCCCACCAACTCACAACTCCCCCCCCCCCCCCCTCTACACATCCCAAACAACAGACAGGTCCGGTAGAGAGTGGTATAGCAAGACCCGTCTAGTAGTCTCCCTCAACACCTGGTCTTTGGGCTCTGGTCTTTGGTTCCACCGGTCTCTCTCTCCTGCGGACCAGACACGCCACACGCCCACGCTACACCTCACCGG